TTAGTCACCATTTTCGAGCAAAATCATCCGTTCCCCGCACGCCTCCTGTACCTGTGACGTAAAATATATTGAGTTTCAAATTTCAAATAAACTAAAAGTGAAATAGTTTAGATCAATTTGTAATCATTCTCCATATCTTTTAAATGATCCCAGTAAGACTCACGGGCAGTTAAACGTACAAGATATGTGTAATTATGTTCCGCAAAAAGTGCCGCGAATTGTCAGGGTAATTAGCTGTAAAGAAGAACGATGTTGGAAAGGTGTTAAGTCAGATTTAGCATGGCCCGGCAGAGCCATGTCTCATTTATGTTTCGGGCAATAAAAGTAAAGAGATTCACCGGCAACGCATTCCAGATTTTATAACTCGGAAACGTATGGCGCTCCAAAAGTCCACCGGTCCAACAAAGTAGTTGAAATTCGGGTGTGTCAACAGTCTTCCCACTCATGTCATATCTAGTAAATCCGAGAAACATTTCTTAAATACCTTTCTTGAAAAGGAACATAGCCATCGAACTTAATAATAATTTTCTAGGTTTTGTTTCTCTCTATTAGAAAAGTTTTTCAAAAAGCATCGGCAAACTTTATGCTTCATGAAATGAATCCCCAAGTATTAGAAACCCATTTGATACTCCATTTATGTAAGATTTGTACACTGTCTACCTCTAGTAGATGGTCTCGTACACACATTTTTCTCGAATTATTAAGAAGTTGTAAAACTTCAGCGTGAAGCTACTTTCATTTTTTTTTCTGGGATGTAGTTGGACCTATTGTTAAGATGAGCTGGGAGCCAGTAATACAAAGTTGCGGTAAAATAATTTTATCTACAACATTTTTTTGTCTTTATGAAAATGCAACTATTGCTCTACTAGAAAGATAAATTAATTCTTTTACTGTTTTTAGTACAACATTTTTCTTCTGACTGTCATATCTTTAGATTTTTAAAGGACGCTTTGGAGGAAAGATTTAGATGAAGACAAAGATGTGATTTGATTCCTGGCTGAAAACGTAATCAAAATAACTTTGTTAATTTAATTAGAGAAATCGGTTAGAGATGTATATATTGTATCTACTAAAAAAACTGTGATTGCCCAGAACAACTGTCCCAAAATATTAAATTCGTAAAAATATGGCATTAATTTCCACAAAAAGTTTGTAAGTAAAAAAATCCATAAAAATAAATCCCATTTTGCAATGTGGCATCAAAGATGATGATCAAGTTTAGGATATTTTGGTGTTATTCGTACAACTCTAACCTTCCTTCTCCCGATTATGAATATTTACAGGGTTCGTAGCGGCCGGGAAAACCGGGAATACCGGGAAAAGTCAGGGAATTTGTTATTCTTCATAAAAAACAGGGAATAGTCAGAGAATTTTTAAAATATTCATGAAAGTCAGGGAATTTGATGTTTGCAACTGGAAATTTTGTAAAAACCGGCCCTGGGTTCTTGAAAGAAAAAACTATTTGTGGTTTTGATACCTTTATAAGAGGTTGTTAGGGTATAAAAGAGATTATGGAGTCCAGTCGAGAAAAAATTTAATCTATAAACACCAATTATTATATAAAAATGAACTACAAGTGACCTGGATCTTTTTTTATAAGTCAGGGAAAACCTGGAAAAGTCAGGGAATTCTTTATCACTTTTGAACTATGAACCCTGATTTAGATCTTTAAGAGACACTTTGAGAGAAAAAATTGGATGCTAGCGAGGTTAAAAATGTGATTCCAGACAACTAAAATATCTTCATTAACTCCAATCGTATTCGTAAAAATTGGCGTCAGTTTCAACAAAATTATACAAATTTAAATACAGTGCAACTTTTTTAAAACTTGACGTAGGTCAACTTTTTTATTTGAAGTGATAGACTATTATTTCCAATTACAAAGTTGTAAGAAATAACTTGATTAAGAAAAATTTGCAAATAAATATTTCCGGTGTTGTCAGATTTCTTCAATAGCTACTAAAACAATTATTTTTATTTACAATATCAAATACAGTATAATTTTTTTAAAAGCTGATGTAGGCCAACTTTTTTATTTGATGTGATAGACCAGTACTTCCAAATGCAGAATTGTAGGAAATAACTTGACTAAGAAAAACTTACAAATAATGCTTTCCGGCGTTGCCAGATTTCTTCAGTAGCTACTAAAACAGCATTTTTTCAAATGACAACACCGTATTTTAGAACAATCAGCAAAAACAACGAAAATAATCTGCAGTCGACAGGAATTAAGGAAACTAACATTGCAATAGTAGTCCTTGAAAGTTAAACAAAAATTATGCTGTTTGAAAGGAGCCATCATTATTGTTCTGTCATTGTGGTATTTGACAGCTGTTGTATTTGAATTTGTATAAAAATAACGTTTTAATTCAGTTGCTAAGATGATTTTGCAGATGGTTGGGCACACACTACCTACTAATTGTTTTTGTTACTAAGTAATTTTTTAAAATATCCGGATTTGGAAAAGACTTATCGCTATGTCTTGCACCGAATTCTGCGTGGATTTAAACCACCAACATGAAGAAAATTTAAGTCAACTTTCTCTTTTGGTTTAAATAATTGAATTATCTTAGCAACTGAATTAAAACGTTATTTTTATACACATTCAAATACAACAGCTGTCAAATATGACAATGAGAGAACAGTAATGATGGCTTCTTTCAAAATAACCCAATTTTCGTTTAATATACAAGGCCTTCTAATGCAATGTTATCTTCTTTTAATTCCTGTCGACTGCAGATTATTTTCGCGGTTTTTGCTGGTTATTCTAAAAGGGCTACTCCAATAAAGAAATGTGACTTAACAGTTGTTATTTAGAATTTGAAGATTTGTCAAATTTATTTTAAAAAAATACGATGTTGCCATTTGAAAAAATACTGTTTTAGTAGTAACTGACGAAATCTGGCAACACCGAAAAGCATTATTTGTAAGTGTTTCTTAGTCAAGTTATTTCCTACAACTCTGCATTTGGAAGTACTAGTCTATCATTTCAAATAAAAAAGTTGGCCTACGTCAGCTTTTAAAAAAAAATTACACTGTATTTGTTATTGCAAATAAAAATGCCATAAAAGAAATGTTACTTTTCATAAATTTGCATTGTAGCATCACGAGTTTTAATACTATTTACTTTGTAGTATACAAGTGTCGATTAGTTGTGCAGTAAGCTTAAATTTCCTCCTTTATTTTTTAAGATTACTCGAACAATATAATCTCTAGATATTTTTAAGTATGAAGTCCTTAAATACCTGTTAATTTTTCAACAAATACGAGGATGCTATAGATTTCATGTAAAGTAACATTTTCACTTTATGAAAATTATACCTGTATACTTAATTGCAGTGCAACTCTTACTCTATTTGAAGATCAAATTTCAATATTTTTTTTTTGTACAACCCTAACCTGATAATTATTGCATCCTTAGATATTTAAAGAGTAGTTTGGACGAAAAGTTTTTATGTTAATAAGGTTAAAGAAGTGATTCTTACTTGAATATTTTTCTGATTTAATTAAAGACATTGGTCAAAGAGTATTGTATCATTTACCTACTGAAAATGTTCATGTGCGCTTAGAACAACGGCATATTTCTTAACTCCAATTGAAATACATGTCTCAAAATATGACAATCGGAAAAATACCTATGACATCAGTTCCGACAAAGAATTGATATAGAGTTATACCTACCTATATTTGTTATTGTTAGTAAAAGATACTGTTAAAACAAATGTATATCTCATAAATTTGCATTATGACATCATAGGTTTTTATTTTATTTATTCTACGTATTGCTTACGCGATATTATGCTTAAATTTGTTCTTTCAATTTTAGCTACTACTACTCGTGCATTACGATCATTAGATGTTTTTAAACATTCCTGTTTAATCCCTAATTACCTGTTAGTTTCCCAATTTGAAAAAAACGAAGCAAAGCAGATACCTAAGTCAATTTTGAAATAAAAATAATTTCTCTTCTTTTTGAACACGAAACGCTATGTATAGGGTACTAATTACCGACCATTCGCCTAACTGAGAAGCGAATAACGTGAGAAACAACGTCTTTGAACCCTGTGATTATTGCCGCATTACTGGCATTCGCCGTTTGTGTATATCCTACACACACAAACATCTAAAAGAAAACCTTCCGTCGTTTCCGCACAATTAATTTCTCATAATAATAACATAATCAATATGTAAACTAGGAATTACATAGTTGGTGTCAACGTCTTGTGCGTAATCTCTCAGCGCTTTAGCGCGCTACACCTGTTTTATCTCGCACGTTTCCTGGAGTTTCGGCGAACAGAAAGCTTTTCGTGATCGCCTAGGATAACCCGGGGGATGATTTAGAGGTGTTTTCCCAGCGAAATTTTAATTTTGCAGACGGTAAAAACCGCGACCAGCCTCGATATCGAACGATAATGTCCGAAGAGTGCACACAATCATAGTGTATATGGTGGGGTCAACGAACTCCGCGGCCGAGTGGGGATACGCTACGTCAGAAGGCCGGCACTGCGACGTACGTCGCTGTTTCCCGCACACGCTAAACAAGGACGGGACGGCGGCCGTCCGTCTCTGCCCCAAGTCCATTCCCGTATTACTACACAGATACATGGACAATTTGCTAGGACAGACTTTCTTAAAAAATGTCCAAAATACGTGGTGATTACCGGAGGAATTCATATTTTTTCGGGTAGATTAGACCGCCCCGCGCTCTGCCTTGCAATATCCGTCGTGTAACGCGATATAGGAAGTGGTTTCGGTAGTGTTAACAATATGCAGTGTTTACTTTTCAAGAAATGTTATCTAACATTCGAACCCAGGCTTTAATTAGTTGGTGATAATCTAAACAGGTGGTGATTGCTTGTTTACTTGTGTGTGGTCGACAGACAGTTACTTACTAAGTTTCGAGCCGGAGTTTTCATGCCTTCAAATCCGAACTGCACATTTCTTAAACGATATTTTCACGGCTTATTAGTGGAAGTGTTTCATAATTACAGTCTTACACACACACACAACGAAAAATAAGTGAAACCTTATAAAAATTGCATACAACATTAAGTAGTAATTATGAAATAACAATTAGGGAAATTACTAACACAGAACAATTGGCTTCTAAATTTAATTGTTGGGTAAAATTGGCTGCATCAAAATTGTTTAGCTGAGGTATAAAATTGGCAGGTCTTATTTGGTGACGTATTGTAATTTTTCCAATGCACACACACGCGGTCTTAAATTTATTAAGATAGTAGTATTGTTATTGCCTCGTTATCTCGTATTCATAATCGGTCATTCACATTTTGTGTAAAAATAGACGTCAGATACATCGTTTTATTGCACTGGCGAGGGGTCTATCGCGTCTATCTAGCATAAAAAAAAATTGGCTCAGCGTTCGCGTTCGATTGCCGAAAATTCCTAGTCACTCGGTCACTTTTCAGCCTTCTTCGGAATTATTAACGATCACATCTATCGCTCAACCATATTCGGCGGTGAACAACCTCGAGTTCAATGCCTCGCAACCGCGCCTCCAAACATCAACCGCTAGGCTGAATAGCGATCTGGACTACGCGAACACCGTTCCATGCCAAATTTGCCGCACCGCCGAATTTCGGAGTACAAGCGCGGGGGTATTTTTAAAGCATGCATGTTTTTTCGGAAGCCCGATATGATTGTTGACACACCTACTATGAAATTACTAATGAAGGAAATGGTTAAAAATTTAATTTCTGTTCTGTTCCGAAAAACCTCGCGGTTTTACAGCACAGGTGGAACAACACATATTTATTATCTAAGATTTAGGGTACTTAATTTTCAACTCGTTCCTGATAAGTGTGGATATCTACGGAATCAGTTAATACTCTCCGATAAACGTTCATCGAATTTGATAAATAAGGCGGCATCATACGCACGTAAGGACCGGGGTCAACGGCCTTTTCGAAATTTTTGGATGGTTTGATGAACCTTTATTTACATCGTACGTCACGACGTCGGCCGATCCTAGGACACCCACGAATCCTCATGGGGGGGTGCAAGTTGGAAGTCGTTTTCCGTGTGGCGAATTTTCGCAACGTCGGACCGGTTCGAAGTTCGGGAATCGATACGCGGGCTTATTTTCGAAGGCGTCCAAGTGGTAATTAAATTAAAAGGCTATATACCTACTACGTGATCCCGTGACGCGCGGGTTCGTCGACCCCGCTACGAGAAGTATTTCACTTTGCGTTGAATTTACCAATGACCCGGCTTCTTATCACCCAGCTTAGACTCGCACTGGGCCCATCCTAAACTGATCGGCACAATTCGAACCTGTGATTTATCGCGGTGCGCTCGCTCACTTCGCAATCGAAATTCGCGCGACTGTTTTTGAGGATTCTGCGGTGGGTACGGGACGCGCTGCACACACAGGCGCTTTTTGGTCGTTTTTCTGATTGTTCGCAGGTACCATGGAAGTGGATGTGATAAACAAATTCAACCCGTCCAGAGAGAGGCAAGGGCCTTGTGTAACGTGAACTGTGCTGTGACTTAACCTTACCCCTAATCCTGTTTAAAAGACCAACCAGGGAGGTATTTGTTAATTTTTTAATTCGGCGGCCATGCGCCCTTCGGCCCAGCAAAAAGGTGCTAGTGATCGAACGTTTTTTCGTGTTGTAAGATGGACTCGTTCCAAGAACTGTTCGCTGGTGGGGATAATTGGACCACAGGTGACAATAGAGACGTTCTGAGGCCGGACAACATTTCTTCCGCGGACTCTACCACCCCACCCCCGCAAAACATCGACGAGAAGGATGAGAGGAAGAGTGCGAATTCCATCAGAGGTAACACAAAGTGATTAAGCAGCGTTCCTTCGACGTTTCGGTCGTTCGGTTGTTACTTTAGAGCCGCTAATACGGTTATCCTTGTAACCCTTAAATATAGGGTGTTTTTTGTTCAAATTTAAAAATATTTTTTCTGAAGTTTTAGTTTTCGATAAATATTACATATGTGAACAATTATAACAACAATATTAAAATATCGGTAAATTTGTTGTGAATATATACGAATAAAATGACATTCAACGCGAAAAATAAAGTCTAGCTCAAACTAGTAGCGTAAATATGGGGAATTTTTGTTGCCTTTTCTCCTAAAATTATGGCACGTCACTGGAAAATAAAATTTTTTCTTTAAAATTATCAGCGTCAATGTTACTGTTAGAGCTAAAAATTATGTTTGTATTGACAAACATGTCCCTTTATTAACTATCACTACCTATACTAAAATCACTGAAATATCTGAAGCGGTTTCGAAAATTAAATTCCTTCTTTTTCCTAAAACATTAACACCCCGTATTTTGGCAACGGAACGATTTTGGACTATAGCAAACTATCATTAATTTTCCATGTAGAATCACAACTTTAAATATTCGCATATCATTAAGGAACCAGCTGTGCAATATAAAAAAGGACATTTTGTTCGAAATAAAATTTTCACTCCAAAAATAACGATGGTATCGGAAACATATCTCTGAAGATTAGATTTGAACGAAAACGATCCTTTTCATTTTTGACACGTTGCTGTTTCACACCCAATATAATGCACCATATTTAAAAATTTACTGGTACACAAATAAATCGATCAAATGTATAGAAACTAAGGAATATACCTGTAGGATACATAATTGTTAAATAATATTTAATGAAAACTTTGTTGGGTAGATAACATATACATTTTCGCTCATTTTAAAAACGAATGAGACAGTATCTTACAGAACTTATAAACCCCGTATCGACTGGAAATTCTGTAAGTAGGTCACATCACTAATATCGAAAAATATTACTAAGAAAAAATTAAGGATCCATTGTCGTTTATGTAGTATAACTGACCTCAATTTTCTCTTTGTTCTTGTGGAATTTTAACCATCCGGACAAAACATTCAGTAGAGCGATATGTGTGAACAATGAAAGCTACCGCTCAGAATAAGAAAGATGTGGACTGGGTTTTACCGTGTCACACTAGTATCACGAAAAACCAATTTCAGTTTCACTAAGAAAAGAGGTTGGTTCTCGGTACAGATTTTAGGTTCATAATTGATTAGCAGACTAACAGTTAGACTTTCGCATGTACACAATTTCGCAATGTTACCCAATATGAAAATCTGCATTGATATTTATCTAATTTTAAAAATAAAAACAGTGGTGTTTATTTCTACAGACAATATGTACTACAATCACTTTTTTAACAGATCAATTGATTCAGAAAACTAGTTTTATGCAGCATGGAGCAGTAAGGACGCTGTTGTAAACTTTATTAAATAGTAAAACGCATTTTAGTCTTTAGAGAGCTAGAATGTATTTTTATCGTCAAGGAATTAATGTACTTTAAATTCCTAAGTGATTAAATGCAAATAGATGAATATTTCGAACTTAAATCATCATTATAGCGCAAATAATAACCCCCCAAACGCCCTCTTGGATACGCCCCTGACCGCCACCAGCATCCGCCATTTAAATCACTCTTCTATCAAAAAATAAAAATTAGTAGACTTTAAACAGTTGCTTTGTAAAAGTTAAATAATGCACAGTATTTTTACTTCAAGAAAACGGTGCAAAAATAAAATAAACATTTATTATCCGAGATTTATTTGTTTTGCTAACGAGATTCTTAACCCGAGGTTACGTTGAACATTGCACTTTACATTAAAAATAAAAACGACTGTAACTATTTCGGGGGTCAAGGAACTCTGGTAAAAAATAACCAAAGTTTCACGTTGTCCTATGCACCGGCTCTGAATACGTATTGTTGAAAGGGGGTACAGAGGCACCGAAGTTACTTTTGTATATGAATATTCGATAGTAGTTTTTATTAGCCATCGGGTCAGTGACCTTTGTCTAGCAGTTAAATATTAATGGAGGCATTTGATCATTTGATCTATATATTACCAAATGTGACACAATTTTTGAATATTAATTTCTTTAGGGGGTCTAAGGTTACTTTTAGGCAATATTTGAACAATTAAAAAATATGCATATTCATTTCAATTGGACTACTTTTTACTTTTTTTCCTATGAAGTGAATGAATAACAACAACTGTAACATGAATAATCGATTTTTAATTTAAATAATTAGAAAAATACTTAGTGCCTATGTACTTTTTCTTATTAAATAATATAATTTATAATTATTGTTGCAATAATTATAGACTTAAAGACGTAGTTAGTTCAACATTGTATTCGATTGCTTTGAGAGGTAATTAATTTTTTCACATTAAATATCATTATTGTGAATGTTTCTTATCGGTATAATTTTAAAAATGTTAATTGATGTTTTATTCACTTTCTATCTATTTTGATTTATGAGTAAATAAATTATATAAAATATATTATTTGGTGAGTAATTATTATTAGAATATAACTGAGAGAATGAAATAAAAAAATGGTGGTGCATTCCACCTTACACTTGTCTCAAAAGTTATATGAAAAAAAAATCATTAATATCACATGCAAATATAAATTGATACAAAAAATAATACAAAATAATATCCCAAAAAAATATTCTGAAGGAAAAAAATACATGTAGGTATCCCTAAATCCAAGTGATTTATCTGCATCAATAAACCTGTATGGGTTTATTTCATTACTTGTCACTCAAAATTATTGAAATTCAATCAATGCTAATTGTATTTCGAATTAAAAAAATATATATATTATAAGAAAAACAGGCAATTTTCAAGTTATTTTTTTAAATCTAAAATTTCACCATACGCATAGTGGGAAACATGGGAAAAAATTTTACGCACTCGGCTATTTTAACCGTACAGTCTTTTTTATTCTACTTCAAATATGCTTAATTTCTTGATACTGGTACGATAATTTGATATATCTATATAGAAATTTTTTAAATCGATTCGGAAGCTATCAGCCATCAAATATTATAATTCGGTATTTCAAAATTAAAAAAAAACGTGTCTGCGGTTGATTAAACAATGAAAATTATCATGTAGCTTCACAATACTTTCTAACCTTACACCTAAGCCCAAAAACATAACCTCAAATTCTTCAAACCTAACCTCAAAGTAATAATACTGACTCTTTTCTAAATCTATGGGTATAATTACGTCAAAACTATATTTTTGAGCTCATATTTCCTAACTCTAAAGCCATAAACGTACACCAATAAGAACCTAACCTCAAACCTTTTTAAAACCAAACTTCAAATTCTAAAAACTTGAGCTAGAAATTCATAGAATGTATATGTTCCACACCAAAGAATAAAAGTCTTTGAAAACTATTTTCTGTAATTTAGAAAGTCAAACGAAGGATATTTTCCAAACTAAAGAATGTGAAGCTTCAAACCTATGATATGTTCATAAAAACCTAACCTCAAACCCTCAAATCCACAAAAAATAAGTGAATGTTTAGATAGACAAAATTTCATTCGATAAATTATAAAATTTCAACAATTTCAGCTAAAAACTTAAGCCCTTTTACTGCGTCAAAGTAACAGTCTTTAAAAGGGTTGTTTTCTGCCTTTTATTTTTCTTTAGTTTTAATTTTTTTTATTATTCTTTTAGTTTTTTTGGTTTCATTTTGTTTCTTTTTTTTCTACGTCCAATTTTTATTCAACGTTTTATTTTTAAATATCTTAAGTGTTAAGGCCGATGTGTCTGTTCTCACTCGATTTAAAATATATCAAATTGTCGCACCAGGATCATAAAATTAAGCATAAAAATCTTTTTTTTTTTTTTGGTAATATTATATTTATAAACATATCTAAAATAACAAATTTCTATAGATTATTCTTGTGACATAAGATCAAACTGTACAAACATTTCTTATTAATATAAATCACAAATTTAAAATTACCCAACGAAAAAAAACGACATTTGATTTAGTCGTTAATGCATTTTATGTGCAATATTAAATACACTGAAACTGTAAAGAAAAACTTTTTTCAACCGACAAAAATTCCAAATATATTTATTCCTGGAATTAAATTTCAAAATTTTAATTTTCTACGCATCCCGAATCTATTAGCTTCCGCATTTCCTAACGCGCGGTGATAAAAATGAATCACTTCAAAAAGTCGATGACATTCGCTTCAATGGTCATCGCTCTATGTAACTCTGAACGATCAGTATCTATTTCCAAACCTCATTTGAAGCTCATTCTTTAAAACGTATAAATGTATTCCGTAAATAACGAGAATGCAGATAATTAATTTGTATTTTCGAAAATTCCCTGAAACGGTAGTGATCTCTAGAAGACAAAGCTCTTTGTTGCCATCCCAATGAGATCTAGCATAGAACAATAACGCGCGTCAACGTCGACAAACATTTTCAGGATTACCTAACGCAGGGTGAACGTCCTTCGGGTTTATCACCTGTGCCACGAACGAAAAACTGAAAACACTATTGTGCGTAGATATTCGATTTTGCCGGGTACTTATCGTGGTTTGATGCGAATACAGGCTCGAGTTTAACGACACGGAGTTTGTTCCCCTATCTAATCCATTAGGGGATGGGCCCAATCTTTTTTATCGATTCGTCGACGCAATCTGTCTTATTAACGTTCCAAGGTCTGTGTGAATACTTTGCGAAAAAAAATGCCCTGTACCTAAGATTACTTTCTAAAAAGAGATATTCAGCAGTTTTTCCTCATTATCAATATTCGTTTATGAAAAGAAAAAATACGAAAAAAAAATAAAAATGGGGTGTTACCACTTGCAAAATACTGGAAATAGACAAGCACATTTTAATTTCTTGCACGAAATTGATTTAGGTATTTATTTACGAAAACAAAGACTATTTCAGTTTTCGTAACTCGTACACCACAGAGTCATCCTAAGCACGTTTTAAGACTTTCATTAATAGGTATTAGAAAGAACAACTGACGTCGGTTTAGAGGCACTGGATACCCAATGAACGTATTAAAGGTCAACAAAACGTACGTACAAATATTGACGTTCATTAATGAATATTATGATATTCCAACGGACGTCCATTTAGGGGCGTTGAGCGTACGATAAGCGTACTTGGGTCATCCGTTTTCCACATATTTGAACGTCCCTTACTTGGGATGTCCACCAATAATCCTTGACTGGACGTCCTAAGGACGTCTCAGACGTGTTGAAAATGTATGTACAGTGGTTATCACAGAGTGGAGGATTTTTGGGACATTAACAATTATTTACAATATTGCATAATAAATTAAACTGCATATTAAAACAAAAAATATATTTTCTATTGAGTATACATAGGTACTTATACGGGGAAAGACCTCCCGTAAATACAGAGGGTGATAGTACAATAAAAAATTATAATTTTTTGTCTTATGAACTATATTATGTCTATCTCCTCTTGTTTTCGAGATACAGAGCGACAAAATTTTTTAAATAGAATTTTTACGAAAATTTCCAAACGGTGCGAAATGAAATTTGGTATTCCCGGGTTTTTAAGGATGCCAAATACGCTGGTCTAATTATTTCTTGGATATTTCTTAGAGGGCGCTAGTTATACATTCCTATTACATTTTAAGTTCTAATTTTTTTAAGGTTAGATTTTTTACTATTCGGTCTTCAATTTCTAATGTACAATTTTATTTTCTGAAAATAATGTACCCTTGTTAGAACTTCCTAATGTGGACGGTTTTCGAGAAAAAAGGCTTTTAATTGAACTCACAATATTACGGTGTAAAATAAGTGACTTTTCTCAAAGTAAGCTTATGACAAAACTTTTTGATGGGTGTCTCATAAATAACGCATACATTCTTAGTAATATTTTACACTCTAATTAACTTTATAACAAAATTTTAGTGTCTGTAATTAGTCATTACTAACTACAGTCACTGACAATGACTAAAATTTTGATATACTCGTAAAGTTAGAGCTTAAAATATTACTGAGAATGTATGCGTTGTGTATGAGACATCCATCAATAAGTTTTGACATACCTTCTTCTTCTTTGGAAGTTCTAACAAGGGTACATTATTTTCAGAAAATAAAACTGTACATTAGAAATTGGAGCCCGAATGGTAAAAAACCTAACCTTAAAAAAATTAGAACCTAAAATGTAATAGAAATGTATAACTAGCGCCCTCTAAGAAATATCCAAAAAATAATTAGACCAGCGTATTTGGCATCCTTAAAAACCCGGGAATACCAAATTTCATTTCGCACCGTTTGGAAATTTTCGTAAAAATTCTATTTAAAAAATTTTGTCACTCTGTATCACGAAAACAAGAAGAGATAGACATAATATAGTTCATAAGACAAAAAATTCTAATTTTTATTGTACTATCACCCTCTGTAACTGTAACTAGTGCCCTTTATGGAATATCCAAAAAATAATTAGGCCAGCGTATTTGGGTCCTTAAAAACCCCGGAATACCAAATTTCATAAATATTTCGCACCGTTTGGAAATTTACGTAAAAATTCTATTTAAAAAATTATATTTTGTCGCTCTGTATCTCGAAAACAAGAGGAGATAGAGGTATAGTTCATAAGACAAAAAATTCTTATTTTTTGTCATACTATCACCCCCTGTATTTACGGGAGGTCTTTCTGACACACCCTGTATAAAATATATACATATATAAAGAGTATGGTAATGTAATCACTAGAAAATAATATTCGTTCAAACAGTTTTGATACATTTTCTATAACCTACAAGATGTCTTGTGGAAGGGCTCCCAAGTTTAAACTCGCAATATTATTTTTTCAAACAGAAAAAAAAAATAGTTTAAACCCAGTAATTGTTAATCAAATATTTGCTGTTGGCAATAATCAAATGTGTAAAACAATAAAATGAATCACCTTGTTGCAAAAAGTGTCTTACATTAGACAAAAATGTTATCAAATAACAAAAACAGTTTGTTTATCAATTTATTTACGTAGATAATATAAGGTGAATGGCCGTCGCAAAATCTCCTTGAGGGAACAACGACCTTCAGAACCCTTTGCTGTGGACTGTGCAATATTGAATAAAACCACTTGAAAATCGTTTATCGTTTGAAAAAAATGTTGTTCAAATCAATACTCCCACTAGAAAGCTACTGAATGGTCTAAAATTGTCAAAAATGTGCTAAAAATAAGTAATTGTTAGAAAAACGTGCGTAGAATTAAAAAAGATGCGATAAACAGTAGAAACAAATTATTTATATTTTCGTCTGTAGGATGTATAAAGAAAGGTCGCTGACCCTGTGGAGTACTCAAATATTCTGATTCATTTGAAAATATTATGTTCCTTGTATTTTTTATAGTATTTTAAATTTAGACGATGTATGTATATAAAATTAACAAGTCATACCCGTTTCGTCTATTCGAAAATAATAAAAGGTGATATTATTTTTGTTAAAAATGTTATTTAATTACCCAAGTACTTGTAATAAGGAAACAGTGTACAGGAAATCTTTTACTCTCAATTTTTTAGAAATATGTATAATTTAATAATATATCATTCCGACGGAGGTCATTGACCTTTCCAATATGCGTGAATGCTTTGAGCTCTGGATAATCAGTTTCACATTTATTTGTTAGGACATTTTCCTTTATCCCTAATAATGGAAAAATGACAAACGTTCATTACACGAAAATTTATAGTTTTATAACCTCCGGATGTATAAACAGATCTTTTCGTCGGTTGAACATACTTGTTGCTTATGCAAATCAACGTTGGTATCAATGGGATAAAATTTGGTAAATAGCATCGGATTTTTCAAGTGTGTAGGAAACAACGCAAGGTTAATGACCTGTGAGTGCTTCCAGATATATTTTGTTCAATAATATATTTAGTTGCAAATGTATCTCATCCCGCTCAGACACAATTTAGCTAATAAACGGGCAATATGATTTTTAAAGGTAACCGTTTGCTTGTGTTTGCCACTTTATAAATTTACAGCAGGACTTTTAGTGATTTTATGAACTTGTAAAATATTTGTTTTTGGTTCAGTACCACACACAATATTTTCACTGCAGTGTTTATTAGGACGTGACATCTTTTAGTCAGTGTTAGCTTTCTGATACACTACCAGACATTTTATTTTCTTCCTTCGTTCTTTTACGACTTGGTAGATTAATATTTTTTTTTATTTTCAGCACAAATCGAAATAATCCCGTGCAAAGTATGTGGGGACAAAAGCAGTGGCGTGCACTACGGTGTGATAACTTGTGAAGGATGCAAGGGATTCTTCAGGCGTTCGCAGAGTTCGGTGGTGAACTATCAGTGTCCGAGGAACAAGAACTGTGTAGTGGATAGAGTGAACAGAAATCGGTGTCAATATTGTAGATTACAGAAATGTCTTCGGTTGGGGATGAGTCGAGATGGTAAGTTCGAAATGCTTTTTCAATTTTTCCACAGGGCAGGCAAATCGGTGGTACGCTGGTGATGAAAATATGTCGAATTTTGATAAGAATGTGCTTTAAAGCTACCAACTTCAAACCTTTCATTACGGTCAGTCGCTCGGTGGTGAAGAACTATCTTATTATTCGATCAAATTTGGTATTTCAAAAAATTAATATCGAATTCAAATTCTTAAACCGTCTTTCGCTTCTTCTGAAATTTATTTCAACCCGTTAAGGAATTTGTTTTAAAATTTTAATTTGGTAGGTATTGCAAATTTTCGAAATAAAAATATATTCAATGATGCAGTTGTAGTTTTTTACTGCCTGTATGATTACGTACATAAAATAAGAAATTTAAACTGTCAAAGCAATTAAAACCAAAAGTAAAAAAAGGTCAGAAGAGGAAAACATAGTTTCACGAAACGTCAACAAATTGACGTGCACGATACAAAATAATGTATTTTTTGTACTATATTTTGTATTTGTCTGCTTTTTTCAGTGTGGGATTTTTTGGGCAAAATTATTTTCATAAAAATAATCCTTGACCGATCCTTTTGGCGCAATGGTTTATTTCACTAATTTTTAAATTGTTGGCAGGTGACAAAATACTCACAAATTAAAAAGGAAAAAAACTATGTCACAAATTATTTAAGCTGGTACCTACAAATTATAAAAATTTTCTTTAATAGACCTTTTTAATAGTGACTTCACATACGTGAAATAATAGGCAACCCCATTTTGCACATTGCCATGAAGAATTTCTCAATATTTTTACTAGATCGATTTTCGACCTTATATACTTCGAAAATAGTGCCAAAAAATGTCTTCTTTGTCACGACCTTAAATGTCGCGATATTCTGGCAATATTAGAAAATATTTAAGAAGTTTCAAACCCCAAGTGACTAACTAAAAGAATTGTAGAACTTATATATTTAAATTTATAGAACAATATTGACTTTTATAATAATTAATAAATTAAAATTATATCAATATTCCTGATCATGCGCATAAAAAATAACTTCATAGCAATATGGAAGACACAAAACAAAAAACAAATACGTATTGTATTGTTCCCAGAAACACTATACACTTGTGTTTTCCATTGTTGATTTTTTTGTGAATATTATACAAATACCTATAGGTACTAAGTATTTATATAAAAAAACATAATAAACAATATACAGGGTGATTGAGAACTTATCCAAAAAAAAAATTCTGGATGTACAGGAGACCCTTACAAATACAATTTTGTAAAGAAAAAATCAAAAAGGGCAGTTCGAAAATGATTTAAAAATACATTTCTGCAGGGCACTGGAAACTGGTCCACTGTAAAACCTGACCTCGCACAATGCGACCGGCATGGCGGTGTGATAAAAACGGACAAAAACTGTCGCAACGAAAGAAATATGTAAATAGAATTTTATCGCACCTATTTTATATCGGCAAATTCAACTGCTTTTGCCTTTATTAATTAATAAAATTAATTTGTTTTTAAATAATAAAATACCCGACATATCCGACATACCCGATGTTACAACAATTGTTCAAAATTTTATCCACCAACGTGTAAACACATTTGGGTCCGTCTTAATCACTTTCTACCTACTAACACAAATGTTGTCTTGCTTCACCATAGCACAAATGCTTCACCATAAATTAAAACCATCCATCCAAAACCATTATATCCATCAACTCCGAGTTGCTATACCTACACGCAAACCATTTTTGACACTAACTACCCATTTTTGACACTAACTACTAAAAAACTAGTGTAAACACCACAGATAACAGGTAAATACTATCGCAACGACGATTGCAAAATCCAATTTCAGTATTCGGAGTCGCTGAGGCCACGTGGCGAGTGATGCTAGAGACCACAGTTGTCCAGCTATGTAGTGGTTGAATGTACTATAACTTCAATTTTTTTTTTCTCGGAAACTAAGGATTTTACAAAAAATTTTTTTACGATATTGATTCCATTTCTCATGCTGCATCTATTCCCAATTTTTTTTTGGATAAGTTGTGAATCACCCTGTTTATTGTTAATATATTTATAAGATATTAGGTAGATTTTATGTAGTTTCCGTGGGAATAAAAATATTAATAGGAATTTTTTATTTGATTAGGTAAATCTTTGAACCTGTGACAGAAACGGTTTCGTACAATTAAACGCAAAATCCTTATTCTTATTTACTATTCTTATTGTACCAAAACATCAAAACTTTCGCTACAAACGTACTTTAAATAAGCTTTACATGTTATTGAAACGTAACCTTTTGCATTTTCAATCCTCTCATTTCAGCACTGATAACGTCGTGGTTTTTATTTAAAAAAAAAACCATTAACAAATCTACTTCTGGCAAATTAGAGGAATCTGCTTTTACGAAATTTGCCTCCATTTTTTAAATTTAACATGCACAAACGCTAAAACATTCTGTAGATGCAGCAACTCATCTGGAAGTAGCGCCAAGTCGGCTGATCGTCCCATGCGGTGACGTCATTGTATTGCCACGGCTGAAACAAGTATTCGCAATTTAAAAATCATATAAGTAGTTTGAAAACCGCTCAACGGATTGAGTTGAAATTTTCAGGATCGTGTAATCATGAGCAATACTTTGTTTATACAAAATAAGAACGATTTTGAAAATTTACTGAATGACCCCATTAGACTAGAATTTGGAATAAGTTTTGGAATTATACCCGCAATAATTAAACAGTTAAGATCATTCGTCAGCAGGGCCAGCAGATATAGAGAAGTTTCGAATTTATTAGCTATCATCAGTATGTCGTAGGTGTATGTCTATGGCCCACAGAGTAGTTGTTAAGAACTTTTATTATCCTTCAAAATATGCTAATTGACTTTCAAAAGATATTAATTTGTATTTATAAATTCATCAAATTATTTCAACGTGCTGTTATTGCTACTTAATTAGTGAGTTAACTTTTTTGAAGAATAAAAGGTGGCTCGGAACATACAGGGTGTTTTCACTTTAAATTTGGAAAACGCAGGAATATATTCCCTATCAAAAATTAAGTGTAGTTTGCTCTACAAAATTTTTTTATGAAAGCCTTTGTTTTGGAGATACAGGGCGTTGAAGTTAAAAAAAAAATAAACACTTTTTGACATATCTCGGTTATCCACGAGTAGATTTGATTCAAACTTGGTACACATTTTGCGTATTGGGGGTTCTCATAATTAACAGAATATTAGTCCTATCGGATTAGCCAGTGGCGTGCAAAGGTAGGGATGCGTGGCACCTTTTTCAAAAAAAAGTACGCCATTGAGTTTTTCGAAGAATGTAAAGTAAATTTAAATACTACCATACAAAAGTACTCTAAAAGGTCTCTTGGTATTTTTCGATAATACGCAGCGTTCATGAGATTCTTGGACTATCAAGATTCCAATGCATGATAACATGGCACGGTAGTGCTGAATGAGAAAAAGAGATATTTTTCTTTGAATTCAAATGCTGCATTAAAATTTATAGCAACTTTTTTGTTTCGCAGCAAGTCAAGAACCTGTAAATATTTTCATTACTTTCCTCTACTCAATGTCGTAATAATTTTTTTTTCATGCATTGAAATCTTAATAGTCCAAGAATCTCATGAACGCTGCGTATTATCGAAAAATACCAAGAGACCTTTTAGATTGCTTTTGTATGGTAGTATTTAAATTTAGTTTACATTCTTCGAAAAACTAAATGTCGAAATTTTTTTTTTATGCACTGAATTCTTAATAGTCCAAGAATCTCATGAACGCTGCGTATTATCGAAAAATACCAAGAGACCTTTTAGAGTACTTTTGTATGGTAGTATTTAAATTTACTTTACATTCTTCGAAAAACTCAATGGCGTACTTTTTTTTGAAAAAGGTGCCACGCATCCCTACCTTTGCACGCCACTGGCTAATCCGATAGGACTAATATTCTGTTAATTATGAGAACCCCCAATACGCAAAATGTGTACCAAGTTTGAATCAAATCTACTCGTGGATAGCCGAGATATGTCAAAAAGTGTTTATTTTTTTTTAATTTCAACGCCCTGTATCTCCAAAACAAAGGCTTTCATAAAAAAAATTTATAGAGCAAACTACACTTAATTTTGGATAGGGAATACATTCCTGCATTTTCCAAATTTAAAGTGAAAACACCCTGTATGTATATGTGGATATTTTTTATTGCCAACCGTTCATTGGCCATGAAAATGAAATTTACAAATTGTCAATGTAGGTATCGAAAAACTTTCATTAATATCGTGGATGACGGGATAGTTGTATAAATAACAATATTTGTTGAGATAGAATTCCAAAAAAAAAGGTTAAGCCAATAAAGATCTGTTATCGGAACTACTGTAACAATTTACCGCGGCTGGGGCGTGTCTTGAAATTTAATTTCAAGAAAGTGACGCAGGAGTCTTCTTCGAATTCTATCTTAACAAATATCATACGGACTGTATTATGTTTCTTTCCATAAATTCAACTCAACTAAAGTAACTTTCTACGTTCGCATGTACCCGCCAAAACGTTAAATAGTAACGTTTCTGTAGGAAACCGACGTTAACTATGTTTTTAAATTTAAACCGTATTTTAGCAACGGTAGTTTTATATTCGGTTTTATATTATGTCGCACTCCTGAGAAGTAACCGAGGAACAGAGTTCTCGGGTTGTTATTTAGAATAATTTTCAATCCAAGAAATGGAAATATTTAAATGATCTGCGCCGATTCATCCTGCACATTGTACCGTACATTTAGCTTTACAGCAAATTAAATTTAATGGTATAGTATATCAAAATATCAATGTCTCGTGACATAGGTACTCCAGTAATGTCGCAACCATAACCTATTACCGCATTCGCAATTTATAGACTCTGGTAAACCACAGCAGCAACTCGATCCAATTATTGTACCAAAGCTTCACGTATGTCTCTAATCTCAGCGTTCACACAAATCTCTTACTTGCTCGCTTGGTCTGTTTTTAATATC